AATCGAAACATTATAACGCCCCCACGGCTGAAAGGGCGAGCATGTTTGGTGTGACGGGGATTCGAACCCGCAGATTGCGAGTCGAGCGCCCTAACCACCTCGCCTAAGAGACTAGGAAAGTTAGAGTTGCTTTTTTAGAAACTACCAGAATCTCCCACCAAAGAATCTCGTTTTCTTTTTAACACCATACATAATTAAACTGGTAGAATTTATTACTTTGCCTCCACGAACAACAATCATTAGAAAACTGCCCGTTGAGTTTTTTAAACCTATAGATTATCGAACGTATGTGGATACTTTTGTTGTCTTTCCTGGATCTCAACAAATCAGTTAGTTTTTAATATCTTATTGGTCAACATAAGATTTACTGTAGAACGAACTTCCTTTCCTTGGTATATATATATAATAAGAAAGGTAGTTTTGAACGTGAAGTATATCACGAGAACGCATTTAAAGGTTTATATTTTTTATTTCAACAGTTTGATTACCGATTCATTTCGCTTATATATTTGTACTAATTTATCGTGGTTCTAAAATAATTAGCACATAAATATATTTTCGTAAGGACGTAAATATCATTAAAATGTTTTCTTTTTATTACAATTGGGCGTATTATTTGGATAAAATCAACAATGTTTTTTTCAACGAGATTTATTGTTCCAAAACAAACAATAAATATAACATTACCAAATACAGGCAAATGTATATTTGATTTGATAACCTATTTACATATGGTTTTTGTGTGTGTGAAAACTATGTACACGCTGATGTAAGTGTAGTTCTCAAATCTAGAAATAAAATACATATTTATATATACAAGGATATACTTCAGTATTTAAAAACATCTAATATGAAATTGTTGGAGAAGGTTCAGAAAAGAGCCACTAGGATGATGGGATTGTCCTAAGGAGAGTTTGTTTGTTTTGAATTTCGCGCAAAGCTACACGAGGGTTATCTGCGCTAGCCGTCCCTAATTTAGCAGTGTAAGACTAGAGGGAAGGCAGCTAGTTATCACCACCCACCGCCAATTCTTGGGCTACTCTTTTACCACCGAATAGTTATCATTATAACGCCACCACGGCTGAAAGTGCGAGCATATTTGGTGGGACGTGGATTCGAACCCGCGACCCTCAAATTGCGAGTCGAGCGCCCTAACCACTTAGCCATGCCGGTCCACGCGATG